AGTGGCTATACTAACATCAGACAAAAGGGACTTAAAGACAACATTTTTTTTTTTTCACTAGAGACAAAGAAGGACATGTCATAATCATAAAAGGGTCTGTTCATCAGAAAGAAACAGAAACACAGATGCACTTAACAGAGTTTCAAAATTTATGAAACAAAAGCTGACAAAACTGAAGGATTCAATACCCCACATTCAACATCAATATAACTAGGCAGAAGATGAATAAGGGAAGAGAAGATGTAAATAATCAGACGACAAACCAAACCAATCAGACCTAACAGGCTTCTCTACAACTCTACAAACCAATCAGATGCAACAGGCTTCCATACAACACTACAAACCAATCAGACCCAATTAGACCTAACAGGCACCTATATAACACTACAAACCAATCAGACCCAACAGGCTTACATACAACACTACAGACCAATCAGACCCAATCAGACCCAACAGGCATCCACACAACACTACAAACCAATCACACCCAACAGGCATCTATACAACACTCCACCCAACAAGAACAGGATAGAAATTCTTCAACACTCTGGGACAGAAAATATGGTACGCCAATAAAATAACTCTCAATAAAGACAGGAAATCATACAGTTATGTTCTTCAGCCATAATGGATTGAAATAAGAAATCAGTAACAGGTCAGGCACGGTAGCCCACGTTTGTAATCCCAGCACTTTGGGAGGCTAAAGTGGCAGGATCATTTGAGCCCAGGAGTTCCAACACAGCCTGGGCAACACAGTCAGACCCTGTCTCTACAATAAAATTTTTAAAAATTTAGCTGTGTTTGGCGGCTCATGCCTGTAGTCTCAGCTACTTGGGAGGCTGAGGTGGGAGGTTGAGGATGCAGTGAGCTGTGATCACGGTGCTGCACTCCAGCCTGGGAGACAAAGTGAGATCCTGTTTCTCAAAAACAAAAAAGGAAAAGAAGTCAATAACAGAAGGAAACTTGAGAAATTCACATATATGTGGAAATTAAACAACAAACTCTTAAATAACCAAGAGGTAAAAGAAGAAATCACCAGAGAAATCAGAATATACTTTGAGATTAAAAAAAGGCAAAACACAATATACCAAAACTTAAGGGATGAAGTATATCAGTGCTGAGATTAAAAATTTACAGCTACAAACATCTATATTAACAAGAAAGATTTCAAATCAATAAGCTAATTTTCCATCTCAAGAAACAAGAAAAAGAAAACGAAACCCAAAGCAACCCAAAGGAAATAATAAAGGTTACAGTGGAAATTAACAAAATAAAGAATGGAAAATCATAGGGAATAATAAACAAAACCAGAAGTCGTTTCTTAAATAGATCAACAAAATTGATAAATCTTTAGCTAGACTGACTAAGGGGAGTAAAAGAGAGAAGAATCAAATTACTAAAACCAGAAAATACTATGAATAGGCTGGGAGCAACGGCTAACATCCACAATCCCAGCACTTTGGGAGGTCACGGTGGGAGGGTCGCTTGAGGCCAGGAGTTTGACAAAGATCAGCCTGGGCAACACAGCGAGATCTTGTCTCTACAAAAAAATTTTAAAGAAAATTAGGGCTGGGTGCAGTGGCTCATGCCTGTAATCCCAGCACTCTGCTAGGCTAAGACTGGAAAATTTTTTGAGGTCAGGAGTTTGAGACCAGCCTGGGCAACATAGTGAGACCCAATCTCTACCAAAAATAAGCTTTTAAAAAATTAGCCAGTCATAGTGCCATGCCCCTGAAGTCTTAGCTACTCAGGAAGCTGAGATAGGAAGATTGCTTGAGTCTGGGAGGTGGAAGCTGTAGTGAGCCATGATTGTGCTACTGCACTCCAGCCTGGGTGACAGAGCCAGACTCTGTCCCAAACAAAACCAAACCAAACAAAGTCAGAAAATTAGCTGGATGTGGTGGTACATGCCTGTGGTCCTTCCTACCGGGGAGGCTGAGGTGGGAGGATTACTTGGGCCCATGAGTCTGAGGTTGGAGTGAGCTATGATTGCACCACTGCACTCCAGCCTGGGCAACAGAGTGAGACTTTGTCAGTTAAAAACACTTTTTTTAATGCTATGAACAATTGCATATAAACAGATTGCAACAAAGAACCTAGAAATGGACAAACTCCTGGAAAGATGCAAACTACCGGAACTAAACAGATCTATAATAAGTGAAGATACTGAATTAGGGAAAAAAAATCCCACAAAGAAAAGTCCAGCCTTCACTGGTAAATTCTACCAAATGTTTAAATAATTAACAACAATCTTTCACAAACTCTTCCAAAAAATAGGAGTGGAGGGAACACTTCCCACCTCAATCTATGAGGTCAGTAGTGACGTTGACTAAAGTCAGACAAAGACATCACAAAAAGACTACAGACCAATATCCCTCATGAATACAGATGCAAAATCCTAGCAAACTAAATTCAGCAGCATAAAAAAAGGATTATATACCACGAACAAGTAGAATTTACCCCAGGAATGCAAGGTCGGTTCAACATATGAGAAACAATGTAATATGCCGTATCACTAGAGTAAAGGACAAGAATTATACTGTCATCTCAACACACGGAGAAAAAGCATCTGACAAAATTCAACACTTTATGACAAAAACACTCAACAAACTAGGAGGAGAAGGTAACTTCTTCAACCTGGTAGACAGCATCTACACAAAACAGCACGGTTAGCATCACGCTCAATGGTGAGAGACTGAAAGCTTCCTGTTAAGGTCAAGAGTCAGACAAGGATGTCTGCTCTCACCACATCTATTCAACATTGTCCTGGAGGTACCAGCCAGAGCAATTAGGTAAGAGAAATAAAAGAAACCCAGATTAGAAAGACAGCTGTTTGCAGATGACATGATTTTGTGTATGGAAAATCTTAAGGAACACACAACTAATTAGAATGAATAAGCAAGTTCAGCAAGGAATGCAGGATACGAGATCAATACACAAAAGTCAATTGTACTTCCACATATTAGCAATGATCAGCCCTAAAATGAAATTCAGAAAACAATTACATGTATAATTCTTTTATAAATGCAATTTATAATATTTTAATAATTTATAATTGCATTTATAATCCTTTGGTTATAAATAAAAAAGAATAAAATATGAGTAAATTTAACAAAATAAGTGAAAGACTTATATACTGAAAACTACAAAATACTGTTGAAATAAATTTAAAAAGACCCAAATAAATGGAAAGATAATCAGAAGCTCATGACTCAGAAGATTTAATATTAAGATGGTAATACATCCCAAAGCAATCTCTAGATTTAATGTAATTCCTATCAAAATCTCAGCTGCTTTTTTTTTTTGAAGAAACTGATGAGCAGATCCTAAAATTCATTTGGAAATGCCAGGAATGCAGAATAGTCAAAACAGCCTTGAAATAGAACAAAGTAAAACTTATCACAACAAAGCAACATTGATCAAGGCACTGTGGTACCGGCATAAGGTTAAGGTCAATGGAATAGAGTCAAGTGCCCAGAAATAAACCTGTACATTTTTGGTCAATTGATTATAAATAAGGGTGCCAAGATAATTCAATGGGGAAAAATAATGTTTTCAACAAATGGTGCAGAGACAACTGGATATCCACAGGCAAAAGAATGCGGGCTCTTATACCACACACAAAACTTAACTCACAACAGATCAAAGATCTACACATAAGAGCTGAAATTATAAAATGCTTATCAGAAACCAGGTGTAAATCTCTGTGATCTTGGATGAGGCGATGGCTTCTGAGATGTGACAGCAAAAGCATAAGTAACAAAAGGAAAACCCAGATAAATTGCTGGACTTCATCAAAATTGACTTTTGTGCTTCAGAGGACACTATCCAGAGAGTGAAAGGACAGGATGGAAGAGTTTCTGCAAATTGGCCGGCGCGGCGGCTCACGCCTGTCATCCCAGCACTTCGGAGGCCGAGGCGGGCGGATCACGAGGTCAGGAGATCAAGACCAGCCTGATCAACATAGTGAAACCCGTGTCTACTAAAAATACAAAAATTAGCTGGGCGTGGTGGTGCGCGCCTGTAGTCCCAGCTACTCGGGAGGCTGAGGCAGGAGAATGGCGTGAACCTGGGAGGCGGAGCTTGCAGTGAGTCAAGATTGGGTCACTGCACTCCAGCCTGGCGACAGAGCTAGACTCTGTCTCAAAAAAAATAAAAAGAAAAAGAAAAAAAGAAAAAAGAGGCCGGGCGCGGCGGCTCAAGCCTGTAATCCCAGCACTTTGGGAGGCCAAGACGGGCGGATCACGAGGTCAGGAGATCGAGACCATCCTGGCTAACATGGTGAAACCCCGTGTCTACTAAAAAATACAAAAAACTAGCCGGGTGAGGTGGCGGGCGCCTGTAGTCCCAGCTACTCGGGAGGCTGAGGCAGGAGAATGGCGTAAACCCGGGAGGCGGAGCTTGCAGTGAGCTGAGATCCAGCCACTGTACTCCAGCCTGGGCGACAGAGCGAGACTCTGTCTCAAAAAAAAAAAAAAAAAAAAAAGAAAAAAGAAAGTTTTTGCAAATCACATGAGGATCCAGTATTCACAATATACGTATAAACTCCTGGCTAGGAGTGGTGGCTCATGCCTGTAATCCCAACACTTTGGGAGACCGAAGCATGAGGATTGCTTGAGGCTAGGAGTTCGAGACCACCATGGGCAACACAGTGAGAGCTCGTCCCTACAAAAAATTTAAAAAATTAGCCAAGCATTGTGGCGTGTGCCTGTAGTCCCAGCTACCTGGGAGGCTGACGTGGGAGGAGGCTTGAGCCCAGGAGTTTGAGGCTGCAGTGAGCTATGATCGTGCCACTGCACTCAGCATGGGTAAGAGCAAAAGGCCATCTCTAAAAGAGAGAGAAAAAAACGGTTACAACTCAAGACAAATATTCAATTAAAAATAGGCAAGAGATTTGAACAGACTCCTCTCCAAAGAAGATACACAAACGGCCCGTGAGCACAGGAGATGTTCAGTACCCTCGACGCTGCTGTGGACATGTGTGCACGAGCTTCCACATGGACAGGTTTTCACCTCCTTTATTTTATGCGTCGGAGGGGAACTCCATGGATGAGCCCTGAAAACAGAATGCCAAGTGCAAGAAGCCAGGCACAAGAGGCCACATGTCGTATGAAAAGCCAGGAACAGAAAGCAGATGAGTGAACGGTTCACTGGCCTTTGTGTTTGTGTTAAAAACAACATTTGCATAAAAGTGGGTTTCCCAGAGTTCCTCTGAGTGGTCGCCTCCCAGCTGGGGAATGCAAGCTCTGAAAGCTGAGCTGCACGCACACGCTGCCAGTGCTGAACCCCGCACCACGACACGCACTGGCCTCACGAGGACTCGCAGATGCCCTCTGGAGCAGGGCTGCTGCCTGTGTTCACATCTCCGGGCCCGAGGGCCTCTTCTACGAGGACAGACCCGTCACCAGATGACGACGAACCCTGTCGCAGCAGCACGGCCAGACCTTCAGGGCATTTCAATGTGCCATTTCTTTACATCAAACACAGTAATAGCCAAAGCACGGTTACTGCCCAGACCCACGCCCACTCTGCTGTCCTGAGACACTGGCAGAGGGAGAAGGTGCTAATGGCCAGTGCACTGGGCCCAGCTCTCTAGTTCAGTGCATAGTTAAACTGGTTTGAAAACTTCTCGTGCTTCTTCTGGTCCATCTGGTTCATGGCTGTCATGACCCTCCGCACAGCTGCTCTGTGGGGAAACAAGGCAAAATGTGACCTGGGAGGCTTCCGCCAGGGGCCTGGGCTCCCAGTGGTGGTATCACCAGGGTTATGCACTGGTCCTGGGGCAGCTGCTGCCCTTGGATGCTAACTGCCTGTGGGTGCCACCTTCAGAGAAAGATGGGCGACGGGACCCTTGGCCCTGTTCCAAGACAGAGGCAGGCTTGGAAAGGGCCACCCAGGTCCCAGAGCTGGGGTCTGTGGCGGGTCGTTCTGCGCGGTGAAGGTGGCCCCAGCCCCACCTTGGCACTTCTCCTGTGGCCTCCCACACTCCATGATGAGGGCACAGCTTCCGTCTTGGTCTCCTGGGGAGTGGCCTTGCAGGAGATGCAGCCAGGAGGCATCAGGACGGCCCTGCCCACAGCTGCACACACAGCTCTACAGCCAGGGATGGAAATGTGGAGGGCCGCAGCAGGGAGGGCGTGGGCGGGGCAGGCACTCTGGGGAGCGGGATGAGGTGTGCTGTGCTGACCAGTTCAGGTGCCACGACACACGAGGGTGTGTCAGCAGGGCCTGAGGCCACAAGGTGGTGAAACCTCCGCTCAGCTGCGGCCCTGTGGGGCTGCGAGGCACTGCTATGGGGGCCCCTCAAGGCAGGGTTTCGCCTGTGGTCACCCCAGGTCCTTTCTGTGGGGAGGGCTCTGGGCCACACAGCTGCTGTGAAGAGCCAGCTCCTGCCATGGGCTTCACTGTCCCCATGAGACACAGGGAGGAGGCCTGGCACAGGGCCACTGGCCGTGCCTGCTCCTGGGCATCAGCACCCAAGCTGGCCTCTGCCCCTGGCTGGTCCACAGGAAAACAGCCCCATCGTGAGCTACCAGGGGCCGAGGCGCCTTGTGTTGGCTGACGTGATGGGTCCAGCTCTGTGCCAGGGGCCCCAGGCAGCCTCTCCGCAGCCCCCACCAGCACCCCTGCCCCACCCAAGCAAGGCTGTGGATGTACCACCCACAAGCCCAGGGGATGCGTGGTCTGAGCGCTGCGAAGGCGCCTCCCGCCTGAGCCCACTCAGGCCGGTGCAAGGTCATGCTGGCCAGGAGGGGCCGCCTCTGCCCGGCGCACTCAGCACCTTCCAGGAGTGTCCAAGGGAGGGTCTCTGGGACGGCGATGGGTGGGGCCACCTCACTGGCGCTACCAGATAAACCTGCACCAGCAGGGACTTGGCACAGATGTGGGAGGGAGTTAGCAGCCTCAGGTGGCTTCTAAGCAAGCATTCTGGATTTTCTTGGGCGAGAAAAAGGCAATATGAAGACAGAAACAAGGCCGTGTGGGTGGCTGATGCCCCAGCGGACAGACCGCATGCAGGGATGTCGGGCTGGTGGGCTTTGCACTCTGGCCCTGCCGAAGCCTCACCAGTCACACAGGCCCACGCTGGGCTGCAGAGACACCAGGCCAGCCTCCCAGAGCCAGTGCTCAGAGCAGCCACGCTGGGACTGGGCTCTGCTGGGGCTGATGCATGGACCTCTGTTGTGGCCACCTTTGCAGTCACCACCCTCCCTGAAGTCACCGCTGCAGAAATACGCAGGCACTGACCTGGGGGCACAGCCAGGCAAGGGAGAGATGAGGGGACTCACTCTGTACCAGCCAAGGCCTGTGTCATGACACGGCTCCCCCAGGAAGCGAGGATGACGGTGCCTGGCAGTCGAGCCCCTGTTATCCTGGGGAATGCTCAGGGGCATTCCTGACCAGACCCTGCCTGCTGCCCCTGCTGGCTGGCACTGCCCCTCCCAGGGGAAAGGCTGGGTGGTCCCCCAGGGGAACTCAAAGCAGGGGAGCCCCTGGAGGCCCCAGGTCCCTGGAATATCTTGGAGCTCAGATGGTCCCCCTCGAACACCTCACGCTGGGGCCACGCGGTGGGAGGTGACCCAGCAGCCACTCTTACTTGGCGAAGACTTTTCTCCCGATGCGAGCGCGGGCAGTGTCGGCCTGAGCCTTCAGGTTGGTGAGGCTGGGGTACCTCCTCTTCTTCCCCCTGCCTTTCCCGCTGTACCTGGACGAGCCAAGATCCTGCCCTGTGGCTGCCTCCACATCTCTCATCAACTCAGGGTCCTGCCATTCTGCAAACAAAACTCACGCACTTCAGGAAACAGCTGGCACTGACCACAGCCCGTCTTGCCCGAGGCCCCCAGGAGGGGCTCCTGGTCTCGTCCTGACAGCGGGACCGGGGGGGCTTGCCTACAGCCGTACCCTGGCACCAGCAAGCCTGAGAGGACGCTCGGCGGGCAGGGTTCCCTGAGCAACAGGCTGGGGAGGGTGGGCACGCTGGTCCCCGTGGGGTGAAGGTGACACAGAGCTCATCCCCACCGCCCCACACCCCCACAGGCCCCTGCCGCCCAGAGATGGGGAGCCGGGGCTGGGCCCAGAGGCCACTGCTAGGGCACCCATGGACCTCCCAGGCTGGAAGGTGGCCAAGGCCAGCGGTTGGCGGTGCCATCCGCAAGCTACTTCCTTGCCTGAGGGCTGGACCGTGCCCCACTAGGCCAACTGTGCCCTGCTGGACCCGCCTGCTGGTGGGGAGGTATGTGCGGCAGGGCTGGGCCAAGCATGATGCTCAGCAAAGGGCTTTTCTTTTTCGTTGATCCAAAGATGACCTGGCCTCAGGCCTCAGAAATGCAGGGTGGGGCTCTCCTAGACAGAACTGCCCTTCCCAAGCAAGCCAGGCGTTGTCTGCTTGAGGCCCTGTGGCCGTGAGGGGACACAAATGTCACCAGCCCCTCTGAGCAGCCTCCCAGGCTGACAGCACCCACTGTGCAGATGGGCACCGAGGCCCTCAGGGGTCACAGGCCCAGGCTTCCTGTGGGGTTCCCCACACAAGGCGGAGGAAGGCCTCCACCAGGCGTGGTACTGGTCGGGCTCAGAGAGGCCACCCAACGGGACTGTGATGGCCGAGGGATTCACAGACAACCCCGGCTCGCAGAAGGGGGCTGGGCACTGATGCTCCAGAGGCACCTGCTCCTGCAGACAGGACCCCATGAGCTGAGCCAGTGGGACCAGGCCACGGGGGCGACCAGGCCACGGAGGCACATCCCTGAAAGGATGCCTACGACTCGGACTGATGGCCAGGCCTCCCAAGCGGATTCTTTGAAGTGAAGGAATACGGGGCCCACAATTCAGATACAGGAACGATTAATCCAAGATTAAGGAAAACTGTCCAAACAGTTTATCTCCCAGTAATGAGAAGGCGTCACAGTTTAGGAACCCAGTGAATGGAGCAATTGTTTAAACACAACGAAAAGGCGCCGGCACCCAGTAGAGATGGAGCGAGCGTCTCAGTGAAATGAAGGAGCAATTTAAAAGCCTTTGAGGAAAATCAATAGATGCTGGGAAGCGCCTTCCTGGGCGCTGACGGGCCCTGCAGCACACGCACATTGTCACTGAGGTTAGCGCCAGGGAAAGGAAAATTGCGCCGTGCGCGAGGGAGGCGGGGATCAATACTGTAGTTAGTAAAGAGATGCTATTTCACATCTGACTGGCCAGCGCTGGCCGCAGCCCGCGGCCTGATACCTGTTTGTTAACAAGTCACCAAGGGCTGGAAAACCAGATACTCTTCAGGGTTGACACAAAAAATAGGCACTTAATTTGCTCCTGAGTGTGAGCCCCCAGGGAAGGCCTCACCCAGAGACGAGCAGGTCAGGGCCCTCCCACCGCCCAGGGCCGAGCTGCTGCCTCTGGGCTTCAGGCTGCACTCAACATCCGCCTCTCATGACCGGAGTGCAAGATGCCCAGGAGCCATGACAGAGACGGCTTGGAAGGGCCCCCGGGCCCCCAGCACTGCTCTTCAAGACAAGGTATGACCCCCGCTTCAGGCCAGGGCCAAGCCTGCAGGCGTGGCCACTCTCCAGAGGGACTGAGGCTGGGCAGGGCTCGCGCCTGTCATCCCAGCGCTGTGGGAGGTGAGGCAGGAGAATCGCTTCAGTCCAGGAGTTCAAGACCAGCCTGGGCAATACACTCCACCTCTACCAAAAATAAAATACAGAACTTAGTCGGGCACGGTGGCATGGTAATTCCAGCTACTCGGGAGGCTGAGGCAGGAGGATGGCTTGAATCTGGGAGGCCATGATTGCGCCACTGCACTCCAGCCTGGGTGACAGAGAACGACCCTGCTTCAAAAAAAAGCCAAATCAGATTTAAAAAGGAGAGAGAGAGTCTGAGGCTGGCCAGGGCCTCTAAAAACAAAGTCTTCCTTGGAAAACAGAAACGCACCCCCACCCGGGGATGAGCCTTCGGGGAGGCATGGGGGGCAGATGAGCCCGGGGGGAGGCAGGGCAGACAGATGGGCCCTGCTGACGTGGCAGTGCTGCCCCACAGTGGCCTTGCCGTCCAGGGCCTCTGGGCACCCGCACTCCTGCTGCCATAGCAGTGGCCACACGCCTCCTGGACAGAGCTTTGACCACTTGCACACTGAGGCAGGTGCGGGGCATGGCTGAGGAGGCCAGAGGGGTTCCTGGAAGTCACTCCGGGCTCAGCCCAATCAATTCTCTCGCCTCAAGGCCTTCACCTGCCTGAAAACACGAGGAAGCAGGACCCAGCCACACAGATGGCACCTGTGGCTTCGGGGCCCTGGGTGCCCACCTCCCGGTCGGGGTCTCATGAACACGTAACTCCCCCTGAAGCCGGAGACTCCCCTGGAGCTCCCAAATCCAAGACCCTCGGGGCAGCATCCCCTCCTGATGGCACCAGTTACGACCGAGGGGCATGTAGCTCTGTGGACTGAGCTGGCAGAGTGGGTGCTCTATGACTGCAGACGTGCCCCAGGCAGCCAGTGGCAGTGAGTCCCAGGCTGTGCCTCCCACGGCGCCAGCCCCACCTGCCTGCCCAGACCTACCCGGGCGCTCCTGCTTCTGCAGCTGCCGCCGCTGCTCGCGAGCCCTGTCCTCCGGGTCGAGTGGCCTCCCTTCGTCGTCCCTTGGAATGATCTTCCCGTGGAAAGGGCACTGCACAGTGAGGACATGGTGGCTGACAGCAGGGAGAGGTCCACCCGCCTCGACCACCTGCCCCCACCGCGATTCAGGCACAAACAGCGACCAGGGAGGGCAGCATCGCAGAGCCAAAGTGTACACAACCCTGGAATCCTCAGGGGAGGGCGTCCTGAGAGTCGTGTGGGTGGCTCTGTCCTCCCCCTGGAGCCAGGAGCTCTTGGGCAGCTGTGGAGAGTTTAGGCCTCCCTCACACCAGCATGGCCACAGCAACCCCCCTGCACCATGCCCAGCTGCCAGACTGGGAGCTGCCCTGGCCCGCCGGCCTTTCCTCACTTTTGAGGAGCCCAGGCCCAGCACAGACCTGGGCTGCAACCATGGAGGACACTGTGTGTCTTGGCCACTGGAGAGTCCCCAGGCCGTGTACCCAGGTGGCAGACTTCAGGGCCCTGGGCAGGAGCCCCAGACACCATTCTGATGGCCAACAGCTAAGAAATTTCTGCCCACCACGGACAAGCCCCTTCCATGGGCTTCTCAATGCTTCCCCACCCAGGGCAGGGGCAGGTGGGGCTCAGCACCCCTCCTGCTGCCCCACCCTGGTCCAGCCCACGCCCACCCCTACCCTCAGGCCACGGCCTCACCTTCAGCCGATCTTGGCGCTCACAGAGCCGGCCGTCTGGCCTCGGGGCACGACACCTGTGCTGCACAGGCTCAAACCTCCCTGCAAAAGTGATGTGGCGGCTCCGGAGCATCTCGGAAACGTCGGCATTGACCACTTCCTCCTCCACCTTGCTGGGCTTCCAGAAGCGGTGCTCGGAGTCAGATCTGCAGACAGAGCCAGAGGCCCTCAGAGCATCTGCAGGGATCCCAGAGGAGCGTGGCCAAGGTGGTGCAGGCACAGGAGAAGGCCAAACCACCGCAGCCCAGCCACCCCACCCTGCAGACAGCACCCAAGCAGGAAAACATGGTCACTCCTGCCTGGGTCTGAATTCTGATGCCACATGAACCAGCTGTGAGACCATGGGCACAACTGCCACCTGTAGGATGGGCTCTCCCTACAGGGCAAGGGCGATAGCTGCTGGGTCCTTGAGGCGTGACCTTGAAGGTTTACGGGACATGCACACGAAGGTCGTCTTTCCACTGCAGGGGCGTAAGGACAGGGCAGTAGCGCACCCAGGAAAAGAAGTGGAGGCTGTTCAGCCCTCGGCAGCACAGAGGGACCAGGGGCTGGAGACCAGACTCCGTGGCCCTGGGTTTCCCAGGAGTCCCAGGTCTCCCAGGCGGGTCCGGTCCCATGTTCTGCTGCTGTCACCAGCCTGATTAGAGATGCTTTCCTGTGGATGCCACAGGATGGGGGAGCTGGGTGTGCTGGCCTCAGAGAAGGCTGGCCTCAGAGAACTATGCCGCCTGCCCACCTGGATGCCCAGGCAGAGGAGAAGTGTCTGAGGGGAACTCACACAGACCTGACTGTCCCTGTGCTGCCACCAGGCCTCCTTCTAGGGCATACAGCCACACTTGGGGCCAGCAGGAACTGGGGAGGACAGATGGACAGTGCCAAGGGCTCCCAGTGATGAGAGACACCACTCACCGCCTGCTGACTGGGGAACGGTTGGCTCTGCCCAAGGCTCCCGGGCTGCCACACCCTGTGCCCGAGGGTGCTGGAGGAGCAGAGCCCAGCAGCCCTGCCCTCGCCCCGGGTCCACAGACAGGAGCACGGCCCCAGGCACGGCCCACACTAGGGAGAAGGGACTAGCAGGAGGCCCTGCCCTGGGGCTGCCTGGACCTCATTTCTGCACCCACCTTGGTCTGGGATGAGGCTGGGTTGGGACAAGGCAGTGGGTGGGAACACAGGCAGAAGGTGCTGCCTGGGGCCTTGGCCCCACTACAGGGAGAGGCATCTCGGGCAAAGCCCTGGTGGGCTGAAGAAGAACACCTGGCCATGTGCCCTGCAGTCAGGAGGGGTCCATGCGGCTCCCCCGAGGGTGCCTGACCGCCTGGCCAAACGCCTCCTGCCACACCAGGAGAGGCCCCGTGTGAGAAGCAGCGATGCCTTCTGTCACCCAGAACTCGGACCAGAGACGCCCCGTGGACCGCACTGACCCGGCGCACAGCAGCCACACCACGGGCTCCACCACTTCCTCCCCATCCAGGCGCAGGAATACTCCCCTCGGCTGCCCTCGGCCCAGGACCACTGGCTTTCTTTCTTTTTTTTTTCCAGACAGAGTCTTGCTCCGTCGCCCAGGCTGGAGTGCAGTGGCACGATCTCAGCTCACCGCAACCTCCGCCTCCCAGGTTCAAATGATTCTCCTGCCTCAGCCTCCTGAGTAGCTGGGATTACAGGCACCCACCACACCCGGCTAATTTTTGTATTTTTAATAGTGACGGGGTTTCACCATGTTGGCCAGGCTGGTCTCGAACTCCTGGCCTCAAGTGATCTACCTGCCTTGGCCTCCACAAAGTGCTGGGATTACAGGCGTGAGTCACTGCACCCAGCTGGGGCCCGCCAGCCCTCTGTGTACCAGCAAGGCTTCGTTCTAGTGGTTGCCTGTGGCCACGAGGCCCTCACAGGTAGGGGGTCTTTCCAGAGGCTGTGGAGAACGAGCTGTTTCCAGGGCCCAGGGGCGCCAGCCCCATCAGCCCCGTCTCCCACCACGGCCTGGCCAGACCCTGGCCTCCTGGACTCTCCTCGTCTTGACTTCCTGGCTGAAAGGGGTGAGCCCAGGCTCTCCAGATCCCTAAATGTGGCAGAGAGCCAGCGGGCAGGACCCCTCCGCTTGGCAAGGGAATGTGGGGTGAGCAGCCTCTGCCATCCTGGCTAGGGGCCAGACAGCAGGAGTGTGGCCCTCAACTGCCTGTGGGGCATACATGGCACCCAGGTGCCATCTCCTGCACCAGCCCACACACCTCCACCCACGCGGCTGACACGGGGCCCTTCCCCAGCCCAGGCCGCTGCCATGTTCAGGCTGCAACTCCATCAAGCCGGCCACTGCAGCAGTTTGCAGGCAGTTGGGGGAAACATCAAACCATGAGCTTGATGCACCAGGTGCGTGGTGCTGACGGGCCAGGCAGGTGGAGCGTGAAGCCAGGCCTGCCCAGCAGGGCCCTGGTGCCATCCAGGACTAACCGGGTCTTCACCAGGAGCTGTTCAGGCCTCTCTCTCAGCCCAGCTGCCCAGGGGGTCAGAGCAAAGCCTGTGGTCCTGGGGACACGCCAGGCAGGCGGGAGGAGGGGCAGGCATCCGCTTCTAGGTGGGAGCTTTGCTGGGTGTCACCTGCCAGGCTCCAAAACCAAGCGCTGGCCTTGGGGCACCCCTGGTGGCAATGTGTGGCAGGGACGGCTGTTTCTTCCCGACCTCAGCCAACTGCAGTTTGAAGCAGAACAAACTCAGTGGGCCCCAGGGCCGCCTTTAGGGAAGCGGTTTCTCGTCCAGCTGTTCCCACAGGATTGATAACACTTACGTTCCATGGACGGCCCCCGACGCAGCGGCAGAAAGGCTCACAAAAGCCCTGCTGGGCTCCAGGAGCTGACTCAGCAGGGGAGGCCCATCCCTGTGCCCCTCCAGGTGCCCGGAAGGTGGGGCAGAGCTGGGAGGCGGGGCCAGCTTCCTCAGACCCAGGGAGGCCTGGCAAGCCAGCAGCCCCACCTCAGGCTGGGACCCTGGCTGTGTGCCCTGGTTGACTTCAGACACATGGGGACTCACTTGAGGATCTTCCCAGCTGTGGGGAGCTCCTGGCCCCAGTAGTGCAGGTCCACGCCGTAGGGCACCACGGGCGCCCGGGCCCGCTCCGCTGCCAGCTTCTGGGCCTCCTGTGGCTCTGGCAACACTCTGGGGGGGCTACAGGAACAGAGCAGGACATCCTGACTGTGCTGCTGGTGCTAGCCACAGCCACCTGCCTCTCCCTCTCCACCCTCACAGCACGGCCGGGGCCTCAGGTCGGCTCAGGTGAGCAATGGATTCCGCCACATGACACCCGGGCCTCAGAGCCACCACTGAGGTCCTGTGAGAAGCTCTGGGCCCTGGCTGGCCTCTGGTCTGCAGTTCTTCGCCCTGGCCCAGGGGTGACCTGACACCTGCCTCTCAAACCCTAGCCCTGGGGGCTCCTCTCAGAGGCACGAGCAGTGTCTGGAAGGGTATTTGTTGGCCCAGCCCCACACAGGCTCCAGCTGATGCTGGCACTGACAAGCCCAAACATGGCACCAACAGTGCTCACCCGGTCGGGGGTGCAGATCCCCGGCTTCCGCCAAGATATCCAGAGAAGGCACTGAGCAGCCTGTCGAAGCCAGCCAGTGCTCTGGGCAGAGGTTGTGGCAGCGCCAGGCAGGGGCTCAGCACAAAGGACACTGGGAGTCACCTGGCAGACGAGGGTGGCGGCAAGTGTTCCCGGAGCCACCGCAGCTGAGCAGCCGCAGACGTGGGGTCCGACGCCTCCTCGTCTTTCCTCATCCTTGTCCGCAAGCCCCGCACAGCTGTGTCTTTCTCTAGTGTTGCCTCCAGCCCTGAAACAGACACGTGTCCACTGCCTGCCACCACTCCCACAACCCGCCAGGCACATCCGCGAGACTGGGCAGTTAGGATGTGTCTACGCGTTAGCGTGTTCCATCTTCCGACAGTCCTGAGGTGGGTGCCTGCTATCTGAACCTCACGGGCGAGGGTGAGGCCCGGAGCAGCAGCTCAGGCCACGCTCTGCCAGAACGTGGTGTGCGTTGGGGGCTCCGGCCGTCTTGCCTTGTGGCCATACAGTTCACACACTGTGCTACCTGGCTTTGCAGAAGGGCCAGCCTGAGCAGACGGATTTGCCAGGCTGTAAAGAAGCTGGGCAGCAGCAAGAGCCCAGACTGCCCAGCACTCTGTGCCTGTGAGATGTAGGCAGCCTGCAGCCCTCCCCAGCCCCCAGGCCTGAGGCGGCAGCCTCTTGGAAAGGCCACCCACGGGGTATCCACATGGTCCTCAAGGAGAAGAGAACGCACACTTCCACACAGGGTTTCAACCCACGTCTCACACCGAGGTAAAACCGCGATGTTAGTGGGGATTCCAGCCCCTGCGTCCCCACAGAAACACCTGGGGCTGTACCACAGCTTCAGCAGGCGCCTCTGAGAGCCACGGCCCTGGCCCTGGCAACTCCCTCTCTCTGTCTGCCAGGCAGAGGCTGAGTTCCAACGAGCAAGATGCCGTCCCGGAGCGCCTGTCGCAGAGGGCCCACCTCGCCGCCAGCAAGACAAGGCCATGGCGCTGTATCTCACCAACGTCCCACAGAGACAGACAGGGACGAGGCCACCAGCCCCTGGCCTCCGCAGCCCAGCATGCACCCAGGGTCCCCGGAGCAGGACAAGGAGATTCTCCAACACTGCTGGGCCCTGACCTGCCTCTCCCCTCACCTGCCTCTCCCCTCCTCCTGTACCACGTCCTGGGCTTGGCTCTCAGGCTGCCCCGCGGGGCTCACCCTGACCCTGATGGCGCCTCTCGGTCAGGGCAGGGGCCTATACTCCCTAGTGGCTGTCTGAGCTGGTGTCCTGGGACATCAGGATGGCAGGGGGCACAGGAGGTGCCAGCAGGCTATGGGTTAGGACAAAGGGCACCACCCACCTCCCCAAACCTGCTGTAGGAGCAACTAAGGCCTGCACTTGAGCCTGTCCACCCCTGTGGGCTGCCGGTCAGCAGGGCTCAAGACCCCAGAGGAACCTGGACTGCAGGGAAGCCAGACTTTGGAGAGCTGCCATGGAAGAAAGAAAACGGAGCGAGCAAGGTGTCCTGGCTGGGGCAGAATCCACAGAAAGAAAACGGACTGAGTAAGGCAACCTGGCCACGGCAGAATCCACAGAAAGAAAACGGACCTAGTAAGGCGTCCTGGCCGCGGCGGAATCCACAGAAAGAAAATGGACTGAGTAAGGCAACTTGGCCACGGCAGAATCCATAGGAAGAAAACGGACCTAGTAAGGCGTCCTGGCCGCGGCGGAATCCACAGAAAGAAAATGGACCGGCAGCCCGGGCGAGGAGGCGCACAGCCCATGCCACGCTCCCCAGAAGCTACGGAGACAGAGCAAGAGGCCAGGAAGGGAGGGGGGAGGGGGATCCTGAAGACGCCTCCACTAAAGACGAAGGGCAACGAGAACTGTCAGGTGCAGAGGACTTGCTGGATGGCTGAGGGGACCGGCCACAGCACGAGTGAGACACAGGTGACCGCAGACAGCGAGGGAGGAAGCACGGAGGACTCTCTTAAGAGCTCCAAGGGGTGAGGGGGACGCGCAGGTGTCAGCATTCTCGTCTCTCTTAAAATCCCAGGAGGAGACAGAAATAATTGGAGCGCAGAAAATAGCTGAAGAAACAATGAGCCACGTTTTCCTGGAATTGGAAGGCTCACTGAGAGTCAGCGCAGACAGAGGAAAAACCATGGCTGGAGGCGCTACAGGAAAACCGAAGAACACCAGGGCCTGAGACAGTTAACACCGAGCACTGAGGTCAACCCGACTGCCTGAAGGATACAAAGAATTGATTCTGGGTGTGTCTGTGAGGGGTTGCCAAAGGAGATTAACATGAGTCAGTGTGCTGAGGAAGGCAGACCCACCCTTCATCTGGTGGGCACCATCTAATCAGCTGCCAGCGAATATAAAGCAGGCAGAAAACCGTGAAAAGCAGAGACGGGCCCCGCCTCCCCGCCTACATCTTTCTCCCGTGCTGGATGCTTCCCGCCCTCCAACATCGGACTCCAGGTTCTTCAGTTTTGAGACTCGGACTGGATCTCCTTGCTCCTCAGCCTGCCGATGGCCTATTGGGGGACCTTGTGGTCATGTAAGTTAGCTGATACTTTCAAAGAAATAAAAATTCTATTGACACAAGATTTTCAACGGCAACTGTGAATGCAAGATCTTAGAAGGTCACTTTGAAAGTGCGGAAGGAGAAGTTCAAGCTCAGAGTTTTAGAGCCAGCTAAACAATCGCTTCTTGTGTAGACAGAGGATGAAGACCTCATGGAGACGAGTCCTTTTGAGGTTTGCCATGGTGAGGTCCACTTTGAAAACACCTTCACAGCCAGTAGTCACAAAGAAAAGCCAGGGGGGTGGAGCAAGACATGGGCAGTGCCCTGAGACATGAGCACTGAGTGTGTAGAGACACGGGAGGTGAGTGCCCTGAGACACAGGAGGTGAATGCAGAGACGTGGGAGGTGAGTACCCTGAGATGCTAGAGGTGAGTGCAGGGGCGTGGGAGGTGAGTGCAGAGATGTGGGAGTTGAGTGCCCTGAGATGCCGGAGGAGAGTGCAGGGGTGTGGGAGGTGAGTGCAGAGACACAGGAGGTGAGTGCAGAGACGCGGGAGGTGAGTGCTCTGAGATGCCGGAGGTGAGTGCAGGGGTGTGGGAGGTGAGTGCAGAGATGCAGGAGGTGAGTGCCCTGAGATGCCGGAGGTGAGTGCAGGAGTGTGGGAGGTGAGTGCAGAGACACAGGAGGTGAGTGCAGAGACGCGGGAGGTGAGTGCCCTGAGACACGGGAGGTGAGTGCCCTGAGATGCCGGAGGTGAGTGCAGGGGTGTGGGAGGTGAGTGCAGGGGTGTGGAAGGTGAGTGCAGAGACATTGGAGGTGAGTGCAGAGATGTGGGAGGTGAGTGCAGAGACGCAGGAGGTGAGTGCAGAGACTCGGAAGGAACACTGAGCACATGACTTTGTAAAGCTGACTCCCGCCTGTTCCTACCCAAACCCAAGTGTTCATATCAACCAGAATGAAGTTGGTTCTGGACGACTCAATGTGACGGGGTGGAAGGAGGCCACACGTGGGGAGAGGGTGCTGGGTGATTCGTCTTACGCAGGAAATAGCACAGTAATGGAGAAACTCTAGAAACAAACAGTGAATGGTACGTATGTGTGTAAATCCTTTCCACAACAAGGAGTGACCATCTGAAGAATAAAAACCAGCGGAACAACGAGGCACATAAACAGTGGGAGAAAGGAAACGAGGCGAGGACGGTGGCTGAAGTCGGAGAGGAAGTGCGACGGGTGGACGCATGACAGGCCGCCAGATGTGTCTTCTGAAGACTTCGTAACAACCGTTAATTAAACAGATTCAGATTAATGAAAAGACAGACTCCGGAGTGGACGTCTTTAGCAATATGCCATCTAAAGAAGACCCACTTAGGGCCGGGTGTAGTGGCTCAAGCCTGTAATCCCAGCACTTTGGGAGGCCGAGACGGGCGGATCACGAGGTCAGGAGATCGAGACCATCCTGGCTAACACGGTGAAACCCCATCTCTACTAAAAAATACAAAAAAACTAGCCGGGTGAGGTGGCGGGCGCCTGTAGTCCCAGCTGCTCGGGAGGCTGAGGCAGGAGAATGGTGTAAACCCGGGAGGCGGAGCTTGCAGTGAGCCGATATCTGGCCACTGCACTCCAGCCTGGGCGACAGAGCGAGACTCCATCTCAAAAAAAAAAAAAAAAGAAGACCCACTTAATATAATGGTTAGTGAAAAGTTGAAAATAAAGGGATGAAAAAAGATTTACTATGAAAACAGTGACTGAAAGACAGAGGAGGTCCTATGTGGGTACTAGAAAAACTAGATTTTAGGTTAAAAAATAAGAGGGTAAAAGAAGGAATGTTTGAAGATGTAATAAACATGAACAGATATGTAACTTACAAATGCAGTCTCAAAACATAAAAAGCAATGCTGAGGGGCTACAGGTGCAGAGACACCCCTGACTGTGGGGACTTCGGCGAACCCTCTTGGGAAGTGGCCGTTAGGCAGAGAATGAGCCATATCATGGGAGGTCTGTACAGTACAGTCAAAACCACCAAACTAAGAGACACCGTGAGACCTCCTATCTGACACAGTCTGGCTCTGTGTCCCCACCCAAATCTCATCCTGTAGCTCCCATAATTCCCACACGTGGTGGGAGGGAGCCGGTGCGTCTTCCCCGTGGTGTTCTCGTGAGAGTGAATGCGTCTCACAAGATCCCACGGTTTTAAAAGCGGGAGTTCCTGTGCACAAGCCCTCTCCCTGCCTGCCGCCATCCACGTAAGATGTGACTTGCTCCTTCTTGCCTTCCACCATGATTGTGAAGCCTCCCCCGTCATGTGGAATGTTAAGTCCAATAAACCTCTTTCTTTTGTAAATTGCCCAGTCTCGGGTATGTCTTTAACAGCAGCATGAACATGGACTAATACAATGTCCAAGTCCTTCTCCAACACACATGCAGAACCGACGAGAGAAAACCAAGAACTAAGTCAACAGGGGCCTCAGTCACCTCCCAAGAATCAGCACCGCCCAGACTGTGTTCTGAGACCACAGAACAGAGCGTCAAAAACAGAGGCCGCCAGAGAGCTCAGACGCCCAGAAACTCATGTACACGTGATCGATTACACACACACACACACACACACACAGGTCCACGCACAGACGCGCTCTCACTGAACACGAGTGAGCTGCAGAGCATGCAGACCTTCTGTCTGTGCAGGCTTACTGAGTATATACACACATGTACACGTCCACACACGCACGTCCTTACAGGCATGCTGTCACTGAACACACGTGTGCTCACGGCAGGCTTTCTGAGGACACCCACGGTGCCTCCACTTACCTATCTGCATAGCCAGGAATGCTCTGTTTGGAGAAGAGCTGGGAGGGGAATGAGGAGGCGTGAGAAGTGGGGGTACTGCAAGGCTGCCTGTGCAGGGGCTTCCTGGGAGGGAAGTGGGTAAGGACAAAGGGCCTTGCTCAGGCGCTTGACAAGCATCCTGGAAACCAAGGAGGTGGCCCACCAACCCCACCCCTGAGTTGCAGAGGAGGGAAAAATTGCTTCTCTGAAAGGGCTCACAGAACTTGGGCAGTCTGGAGCCACCTCTGACTTGGCCACCAGCTCTCTGGGGAGCGGTCAGCCTGGCACATGCAGAAACGCCACACCCTGTGCTCAGGGCTCACCAGCCTGTGGCTGTGGGCCAAGTCCAGCCCACCGCCTACTTTCGTGAATAGGGTGTTAACTGGCACACAGTCGCACCCATCATCTACACGCAGAGACAAGGCCTCGTGTGGCCCCTGAAGCCGAAGAGACTGCGCTCTGGCCTTTCACAGAAGGTGCCTGTCCCGCTCGGGAGCTCTTTTGAGCCGTGCCCAGCTGCACACCTGCTCACGGCTGCATGCCTGTGGGGCTGCTCCCATTTCCTGGGTTCCCAGGGGCTGAGAGCAGAGGACATGAGACAGAGCCACCACAGAGCAGGTGACAGGGCCGGACCTCCAGCCCCGAGGCGCGCACCCGGGAGACACTGGGCAGCCCCTGCTCAGCCCCGGCACTCAATGCCGTGTCCTGGGTTTTACTGACAGACCTGCCAAGTGCCCCTCAGTATTCTAGAAATGCACATGACACAGATACGGGCTGTCAGCACATGCGTGCACATGCACACACACACACGCACACACACGCACGCACACATGCAGACACGTGCGCGCACACACGCACGAACACACACGCGCGCACGCACACACGCACACACATGCACACACACGCACACATATGCATGCATGCACACACACGCACATACACGTGCATGCTCACAGTGAGGGAGGCAAGACTGATAAGTGAACAATGTGACATTTAGATACAATCACAGCCAAAAGATCAATATGAGAATTCCTGAGAGTTACAAGAATGAAATATATTTTTCATCGATTTGTTGTTTTAAACCATTAAAAAGATGGGTAAGCGTGTTACAGCAGGGTAAATACTTAGGGCACTAAAAACACTCCCACTTGCGCATCGTGTGGAAAATCAATCTCACTGACATACTTTCAAAGCAAAACCCCAAAAAGCAGACAGCATTCCTCAGGCACCGAGAGCACGCATTTTCAGGAAGAATAATGACTCCTGGAAAACAAGAGGCCACACGTCACAGCCGAACCCGGCCTGCCCCGCCCGCACGGCGTCTCACTGAGTCCAGCATCTTGGCTCAAATTCACTCCCACGGTTGTTTTTAGAAAGAATCATAAAAATGTCCAAATCCCCTTTTTTGTTTAAATTGGCCAAGTGGCACCTATTTGCCTGAAGCACCAAAGCAGACAGTGCGGGAGGGAATCGATGGCAGGAAACGGAGAGGCGGGGGCCTCTGCGCCCAGGCGGGCTGCCCAGCGCTGACATTATTGATTTTACCTAGTTCAGCTGGCCTTGTAATTAAAATGTAAATTTGAGAAAGAGATTATGTCCTGACAGAAATGGTAGGATTAAGGGGAAGATAAAGGCCCCTCAGTGAAAATTCAGAGAAAGAAATGAGCAAGCAAAAGAGCACGGGTTTCCTCCGTGGTGTGGATTTAGACTAAATCTAACTACTTCAGATTCGCCCACGTTTAATTGAAAAAACAGCGACAGAATATAAACTCATGTTATGGACTGAGCTGGCTCCGCGTCTGCCCCCACGGTTCCCGTCTGGTCCCTGCCTCCGGCACTCTTGGGGCCCCTGGGGTGTGAAGCTGAGTGGGGCCGGGGGGTCCCCTCTGCACACCCCAGAGGGCAGCTCTGTCACCAGGGCCTGCCCCTCCTTTGGGCCCTCCAGCCCTCGCCTGGGGCTGGTACAGCTGGTGCCGCACACTTGCACCCAGGCGACTTCCAGCAGTGCCGCCGAGGACACCCAGGCCAGGCCTACAGGGGCCGTCGGCACCTTCAAGGCTGAAGGCAGAAGGTGGTCAGCCTTCCCACTTCAAGAAGTCAATCAGTGGCAATAAACCTACCAGGGCCTCTGCCTGCCCCAGGCGAGGCTGTGATGGAGCCCCCAGCTTCTAAGGCACCCTCCCCTCCGCCGGGCATGCGTGGGCCCTGAGAGCAAAGGGGCAGATGCCATGCAGTGGAGGAGGCTTGGAGCCAGCAGAGGAGGGCGCTGTGGGGACCTGCAGCTGCAATGACAAGAACCGGCGGCCAGTGCCCCAGCTGTGCACACTTCCTTGGACCAGGACTGACCCAGCAGGGACAGCTCATCTCTGCTCTGCTGAGCCTGGGGCCTGAGCTGGAGACACACATCTGGAGGTGCCTTCACAACCAGGGTCAGGCTGGGACAGCCCACCAGTGGGGCTTAGTCAGGACTGCCACGCCCAGTGCCTATGTGTGACCCTGTGAGGCTAGGTGTACCTGCAGCAGGGCTGTGTCAGAGCAGGTGTCCCGGCACACCCAGCAGGGGCTGCGAGGCCTGTGCAGCTCGGTCCCTTTGGCTGGACGCTGTTGTGGATGGACTCAGGACCCCTGGGCTCCAGTGGGGAGGGGACGGCCAGGCCTAGTGACGAGTGAGCGCCGTCACCATTGTGTTTGGCCACAAGCCGGAGGGAGCCTCACCTCTTCTGATGAAAGGAGACCGCTCTGTTCTTTGGGGAGAGTCACCTCGTTTGAGTTTCGCTTCTGGCCTTGCTTTGGATAATTTAGAGCCACAAGTCAGGTTTTAGGGGAAGTGGGGATTTCTGCCTTTGAGACGCCACACATCACCCCGTCTGTCTAAGACATGTAACTTCCGCTCAAAGGGCTCAGAAGCCATCGTAACAGGTCCGTGCAGAGACCCAGGGCCAGGAAATGTCAGTGACACTATAGGCCAAGAGTCAGTGCCAGCTCCCAGACTCTGAAGACATCCAGAAGGGATTCAGGAGATGAGGTAGCCCAGCAGGCCGGGTCAGGGTGGGCCTATGCAGACAAGATGGTTGCCTAGGCCCCGGCTGCAGAATCTCCAGGAGACACCTCTGTGCTTCGACCGGTGCTCCTGGGGCTGGACCCACAGCCTGGTCCACCTGAGGGCAGCTGAGAGCCAGGAAAGAGATTGCAGCGGCCAACAGCGTGCTCAGGCACCCCCAGGGCCCTCATGTCAGGCGTGGGGACTCCTGCCCAAGGTGGGGAATCAGCAGAAAGGCCATTTCAGGTGGACGCTGGAGTTGGAAGAACAGAGTGTGTGAGGTGGGGACGGGGGAAGCCCAATGAGGGCACAGCTGGGGCTGGGGCCCGGCGGGGGACGGGGTCTGACACAGTGAGGTGGGTGCGGGGAGAGCACAGCTGGGGCTGGGGCCCGGTGGGGGACGGGGTCTGACGCGGTGAGGTCGGTAGGGGGGAGAGGCGTGCAGGTCCCTCGGCTTCTGCCTGCCTGGCCAGAACCCCTGGAGAAGCAGCACGGGACCCTGGTCCGGAATGGGCCAGGCCACAATGGTGCTCAGAGAGAGGTCCCAGCTGGCCCCAGGCATCTGAGGCTTTCTTCCAGACCCTCAAGCTCACACTGACCCCAGGAGCTCAGCCTTCACAGCCTGGGCCCTCCCTGGGTGGCCCCGGGTCAGAAGAGAGCAGGACCCCAGTAAACAGGACCATACAAATGGAAGATCGTTAGAAGCCTGGTTGTGCTAATCTGGCATGACACCCTTAATGGGTCATAACTTCACACATGAGTTGTCTAATCATCTAAATTCTCTTAACAAATTTACATCTCTTCTTACACTCTGATTCAAACCAACTGGCCCATTTCACACAAAAGCTGAGGGTCTTGTTTTCATTTGCTTCCCCTCCATGCAAACACCACTGTGGGTACTCTGGGGAACTTGAAGAGTAGACCCACCTGGGCCCACGCCCCTCCTTGAGGGCCACAATCCTGGGCGTGGCATGGGAACGTGGCTTTGGGAGGTATTTTTGAAAAACCTAAGCCCTCGATGGCACAGCACAGGCTGTGGCAGCACTCAGCACCTCCCGAGTGCTCCCTGAGGATGACAGGAGCTCCCTGCTGTGGAGGGCACAGCAGCCCTGGGCCCAGACCCGAGTCTGTGGCATCACCAGTGGTGAGGAGGGATGCCTGTGAATAAGCAGGGAGGGGAGCCTGGAGGGTGTGGGGTGGCAGCCCCTCCCACCTGCCAGCAGCGGCTCCTGTAGCTGCGGGAATCACACCCACAACCCTCAAGTTCAAGGAGCCCACCAGAGCCCACCCTCGTGCGTGAGGCCTTTCTGTCCCTGAGCAGGGCTGCTGATGGCAGAGGGAGGTCAGGACCTGCCCCGCTGCGTCCTTAGAGCAGGCCGGTGTGCTGGGGCCTCCACACACAAGAACCAAGAGTAGGATGGCCCCTGCCCCAGACTTGGGCACCTGAGGGCCTGCCTGGCAGAGGAGGACCAGTAGGACCACCGGAGAGGGAGCATACTTCGGGGCAGGCTGCAGGGAGGACCCTAGGCGCGAGACCCCGAGATGGAGCCAGAGCACAGAGGAAAAGCATGCACACGACTTCTCAGCCTCATGGCTACGATCATGGGCAGGAAAAGCAGCATTTTAAACCAAAGCAGCAGTTACCACAAGATGGATCCCAAGGGGCCACATCCTGAGTGGGGGACCCTCCACCCAGGCACCCTCCGACAGGGCCCACTGCTCACCATACTCAGAGCGCAGGTGGTCGGGGATGTGGGGCTCATACCCCTCCTTCTCAGGGACCTCCACAAAGTCCTCATCATCCTCATCTTCCTCCGCATCCCCCAGGGCTTCCGTCTGTGGAAAGATGCCCCAGCACAGATCAAGCCCCAGACCCTGTGTATGAACACAGCTCTCAGTGGGCAGAGCCCTGGAAATGCCTTTTTGTTGTGGAGCTTTTTCTCCCGCTCAGGGCTCCAGCACCAGCCACAGCTGGACTGCAGTTAGGGTTGTCTCCAAGGCTGCTCTCCTTCCCCAACATCACACCACCTCCGCACTGCCCCTGCGCTGGGGGCTGTTTAGAGTCTACGTCAAAACCACGAACTGCAACCCTGGCTGACTCCCCAGGTCCCTGTGGGAGGTGAGGTCCTCATGTGGAATGGCGTCGCACTGGTGCGAGGGCGACCACGCCCCCGTGGCTTAGGGGAGTCATCTTCCCACCAGGTGGAGCAGGTGCATCTGCTCTTAGGCAACGGCCAGGGCTAGCTCCCCGTACAGGGTTCTCCTGTGGCGCTGGTGTGACAACAACATGTCAGATGACTGAAAGGGACAAGTACTTCTGGAACATTCTGTCCTTGAGGGCTTGCATGAAAACCACCTCAATTTCCTTTTGACAAGGTCACTTCTCTGCCAGGGTAGGTGCAGGGGATCCCGCACTGAGTCTGGAGAGCCCTCAGGCCACCCCTGCCTCCCTCCTCCCATGAGAAAAAGGCTGCCTGCCCTGAAAAAGCCTTTCTCTTCCCAAAAGCTGCTGCTGTAGTACTGGCTTCTGTGTGCTCGGCAGCAAGCCCACTGCTTAGTAACATGGCCACACGGTGGGCACCGCCTGCTCCATCCATGTGCTCAGATGCGGCCGTGGGCAAACTCTTCTCCGCCTCACCTTCCCACTGGCCTGCATCCTTCCAACAGCCCCACCACGGCCCAGGACAGGGTGTGGGAGCTCACACATAGCCCCCAGGGCACACCATCCTTCCCTGAGAGCCCCGCCTCTGCAGCTCACCCACCACAAACCTGGTGTGGGCTCAGCACAGCAGGGCGGTCATTCCTCACCTTCACCTTCAGCTCCCTCAGGCCAGGAGAGGGGCTGGCAGGGCTGCTAGGGCAGCTGAAGGTCATGCCCCCAGGGTGGCCAGAATGGAGGTGCCCTGGGGTGGCTAGGGTGGAGATGCCCCACGGTGGAGATGCCCCAGGGTGGAGGTGCCCCGGGGTGGAGGTGCCCCGGGGTGGGGGTGCCCCAGGGTGGAGATGCCCCAGGGTGGAGGTGCCCCGGGGTGGAGGCACCTGCGTTCTTGTTCCCACAGCACAGCGGAGGGAAACTTCCCGGAAGGCAGATTCCTATCAGAGGAACGCCAAGCAAGGGGACTGTTAACTGGTTTATAAGAGAAAAACCGAAAACCAGAATCACTCCGACACACACCTTCATCTCTAAAAAGCATTCCCAGCATATCAACACCTCAAAGGCGCCTGCAATCGCAGCTTTGTTTCCTGAAGGGAGGAAGGACAACTGAAGAGGGGCCTGACCCCTGACCCCCAGGGCAGGAGTCCACATGTTCACCAGAGACGAAGCCTGGGTGAGCAGGAGACCGTGGCTCCACATCCAGCCCCCACGGAGCCAGGCCACACAAGGCCGCGGGGCCCGGGCACCAGCACCCTGCCGGCAGGTGGCCCCGGCACCCGATCGTCAGACCAAGTGCACTTTGTTTGGGAGCAGCCACTGCCAGGCATCTGGGAAGCAGCAGACATTAATCACTGGAAACTGTAATTTTTGTTATCAGTCTAACACTGATCAAAAGGGAAGCCTGTCTCCACCGCTGACCTGTGAAACGTCCCAATTATACTCTTTGGAAATGACGGGGGCACTTAACTCCCGCGCTGAGCAAATGATGGCGATCCATCACGTCTGAATAACAACAAGCCACGGACCTGAAAATTATTTCTGTACAGAATCTGCCAGGAATTTATGAAAGGTGGAGAGCAGCCCAAGGTTTCAGGGCATTACGGTTCTCAGCCAGTGCAGCGCGGATCACACACTAAACAGAATTTATGTGTTTTAATTTTCTAAAAGGTAGATGTGGACCGGGTGCTACAATGCATAACATATAGTGCCAGATTTTAAATATGGGGGTCATTTTCAAAAAATATTATGCTTATTGCTCGCACCCTTGAATTTCGTCGGGGACTTTTATCAAATTTTCATTTCCTAAAAAATATTCAACCGCTAAGCTAACTATTAGGAATTATACCTTCTTTCTCCCCAAATAATGGTTCATTTCTGTGATTAAATTAGAAGCCCTGGGTTCCCCTTTGTTCTTAAATTAGCGCTGATGAGGCCACCCTGGTCCTGGTAAGTGGCTCCCTCTAACACCAGCCAGGCCCGTGCGTGGATTTCCCTTCACCTCCAAGGAAGCCCCAGGGCTTTCTCCCGGGCAAGAGCCCACCACAGCCACCATCTCCATATTTCAGCTTGAAACTATTTAGAGGCTGTGGTAGCCCCTCAAACCACAGCAACTCAGGATTTAGGGACTTTACTGTTAATACTAAACGGAAGGCTGAAAGCTGCTGTTTTCAGGTTTCAATTCACATGGGATAAATTCTCATGTCTGAAACCCACAGACGCACAGTGCGGTCACCTCCGACACCCGGTGCTGGGCACACTGAAAGTCAGGGACAGGCGGGGGTGCTGACAGTGGGCAAGCTGGGAACCCAGGACGCTGTGTGGCTGTACAGGGGCCTGTTCGGAGGACAGGAACAGCGTGGTCACTGGGGGGGACTGAGCTCCCCGAAGCCTCAAAGCGCACGGAGCCCAAAGGGAGGGTGAGACCCCACATGAAGCAACCCTTCCACGTGGTCCCAATGCCTCCAGTTCACCTCTAAGAAGTCAAATCATCAAGTGGTGACAGGCAAGAGCCACCCGCCCTCAAGGTCAGGGACAGACGAGCCGGGGGCCAGCACCATGTGTCTGCAGGCCCTGCCGAGGGGCTGGGCACTGGCGCTGGGGGGCTCTGGACGAGCAAGAATCCTGGAAAGGAGATCACACACCCTATGGCAGCGCTGGGACCGGAAATGTCTACAAAATGAGGTTAGGTTTGGAAAAGGTTCTCAGAGCAATCTGCTTTGACCCCGACCTGGAAGCTGAGCCTCCTGTGATAAAGCAGGGGTGTAGGAGGCACAGGTCACCCACAGGCTGCCCCTCCCAAGGGGACTGTGACCTGTGCCCACACCTTCCCTAACAGGCCAAGTCCCCTGCGAGGCACTGGAAGCCTCCCGAGGCTGGTCCGCAGTGCTGCAGTGCAGCAGCTACGGGAGCTACAGACCCTCGACACGGAGAGCCAAGACCGCCCGCGCACAGGCTGCCTCCAAAGGAGCCCCGGCCACCACGGGGAGGCGGGCAGGAGCACTTGGGGCCTCTGCTGGCTTCATACAAATGGATTCTCACCCACACTTAAAAGGATTTAGAAAAATGAGCCTCCACGATCATAATTAAACAAGCAATAAAACGGCTAAAATATACAATGCAATCAGTTCACAGGAGTAGGGTGGCGAGGTTACTAATTATTTGAGAAGGAAAGGAAGAGGAGAGGCCCGGGTGAAGGGGCAGGTCCGTCCACCACACGCAGGCTGGGAGATACAGCTGGGGCCATTAAATAAATTTTGTACGATCTAATTAACTTGGTATGCGGTCTCAATTACTTTTCACCCAAGAAATTACTTTTGTTCAGTTTTATGTGTGTGTGTTTCCCTTTTTAAAAAAAAAAAAAATGATGTAAGGCCTCATCAGACAAGTGAGTTCCAAACTACATTTGTCTTTCAGCGCCTTGATGGCTATGCGTTTAAAAACCCATTCTATCTTATAAACTAAAAATTAAACGTGCTCAGCTGTGATGGTCCTCATCGCATCTGCTATTTATATGCTAATGCCCTCCCTGGAAGGCCGTGCAAATTGCCCGGCCAGGCCAATATCTCATGTGCATCTCTGGCTGCCAGGGACGCACCTTGAGAGGACGGAGGGCGGCGCGGAGCAGGGCTGACCACAGTGAGCGTGCGGGAAGGGCACCTGGCGGGCAGCACTGTCGGGGCCAAGCGGAACCTGCTGGACACAGACACAGCACCATGGGCGCGTCCTCACCTCTGAAACGAGAGCCTGGAGGTTCTGCTGAGGCAAATCGTTGCTTTCTAGAACGACTGGCTCTTTACTATAAAATCTACACTCATCAATATGCTCTTACAAGAATATCACAAAACACAGTGCTGTGGGCCTCTTCCCATTCTCGTCTAACCCAGATCATTCCCAGGAATGAGGCTCAGACAGGCCTGCCCTTGGGAGCTGCTAACCAGTACGGTGGGCCTCGGGCCGCTTCCTGGAGTCCCAGTTGCAGGGCCAGGGCCACAGCACCACAGGCCTGGGGGCCTTCTTAGGCGTGAGAGGAGGAGGCCTCAGGTTCACAGGATGCCTGGAGGTCGATTCCAGAGCCAGGCTGGGGGCAAAATTTCTGCTGGGTCCCCAGGGCCGCCTGCCAGATGGAGACATACATCTGTCAACCAGATGCGGGCCAGGGGCCCTGGGTCTCTGTTGCCTTCCAGATGGATAGAGCCGGGCCAGGGTGGCCTCTTCTCCTGGGGCAGCCAAACTGGCATTTGTCCCTGGGTCCCACACAGGATGCTCTGAGCAGAGGCTGTGGGCCTGGTTCTTGCTGAGCAGGAGCGCTGTGTGTGGTGCTGGGGAAGCAGCTTGAGGCACCAGGGGTCACAAACGCCCCCTTCAGTGGACAGCGGGATGACTTCTTACGTCTGGCACCTCCAGATCTAGTAGCTCCTGCCCCCGAGCTCTGCAGGGAAAGCTAACTCTGGGCTCGGGAAAATGAGGGCTGCCTGTGTCGTCGCTTCTGGATTCCAGTGAGACACACACACACACACACCCACACCACACACACCACACACCACACACACACACACACACCACACACA